CCTCCCATCTACCTTTAGCCAAATCACGCCAAGCGCGCTCGGCATAGGATGAAGTTGAGGCTAACTTTCGAACCCAATCCTCGAGATCAGGCACAGCTTGTGGCATCCAAGGTGCAGCTGGACATCAGAAAATAATATTAACAAATACGGAAAAAGACACGAAAAGCAAACATGAATCACTTACGGTCGAAATTCCATTTTTCAGGAAACAGCATCTTTTCCTCCGGGATAAGATCACGAGTCCTCACTCGAATATATCGACCCATCCAACCTCGATCCTTATCTTCATCGATGCTCGACATCAAAGCCTTCGAAGCTCGACGATGTAGCCTAATTAGTCCACGATAAATCTAAGGCCGATACAGTCGTATAAGGTGGTTCAGAGAATAATCCAACCCTCCAGCTTTGATAGAGAAGAAACGCAATAAGATGACTATACGCCATAAGGAAGGATGAATTTGGCCGAGGGTGACCTGATATCTCCTGCAGAAATCAAAAATCACGGGATCGACAGCTCCCAACGTAAAGGGATAGGTGTAAACACTTAAAAATCCCTCCACGTAGGTAGTGACGCTCTCATCGGAGGATGGGATTTGTAACACAACCTCAGAACCCCAGCCGCAGTCTTTTCTGACGGCCTCGAGGTGAATCTCCGCTATAGAGCACGTATACATCGATACGTGCTCACACCGACCCGGAACGGACGAAGGGTTCTCCACCCTAAAATCAGTTTTTAAAATACACGGGCCGGGAATATAATCTTGAACGGACGGCTCCGCCGGCGCCTTATCGTCACACGGCCGTGAGGAGGAAGCTTTCTCCTTGTGAGGTACGATTTTTGAAGTTTTTGCCATCAATATGAGAAGAAAAAGTCGCAAAGGAAGGTGAAAGAGGGGACAGCACCAAAACTCTGGTATAAGCGGCACTAAAGCAACGAAGTAGAGAAAATAATCAAAGGGAATTTGGGAAAAGAGGAAGCACAAAAGTGGAAAACATTATATGGGAAAACTATTTATAAGGCATGGCGATTCGTTTCTAGCGGTAGCCGACCACCGACTGACACACATTAAATGTCTCGATAAAATCAAATCGATGGACAGCTATCACGCACGTCATAGTCAAAGTCGATAGAAACGTCATCATTGATTCGGTCGAACCTTAGGGAAATCACATCGTTTCTCGTCATCTCCTTTCCAAGAATCGAGGGGGCTATCTGTATACGGTTAAAACCGATCCTCGATCATGAAGATCGATCGAGGATGGTATCTTAGTCAAGGGGTATCTTCATGGAGAACCCGAACGAATTCCGAGATGGGGGCGTCGAGCTCGGGGCGTCCGAATCGACCGAGGTAACATCGACCGATACAGGTCCCGAATATCGATGCCCGAAAGTGATCATCAAGCTTGAAACCAAGGCCGAGGTTCCGATCCGACACTGAGCTCGAGTCGGTATCGAGCTCACAGACAAAAAGCTATTGCAACCGCACCAAAGGAGAGAATCTTGGCGGGAATTAAGGAGGAGACACACCATCATGGGTCCTCCACTAGTAATATTATTCCATTATGTTGCTATAGATAAAGTAGTGATCCTTGGCTATAAAAGGCAAGATAGATTGTAATAGAAGACATCTTCCCTGGGATTAAGAATTCATTGTGTTTATCTTTCTAAAGCTCACTAAGTATCTTTGTTCATCATTTTCTATTTTGCATCATAAATACGTGTATTGTTATCTTCGGATCAAAGGAATCTACTTGCCCTTAGAACCATACATAAATTCAACGTTATCCGATTTTTCGGGTAAACAATGACATTTGTTAAAATCACACATGTTTTACCAAATCAAAAATGACTTGAACACAAAAAATACACACCAAATGACACTCTGCATATATCAACATTAAAACTAAGAAACAATATGAAATTTTCAACAACAACTTGGCCTAAATCCTCATTCTTGTTTATACCTCATATGAGTTTTTAAACCATCCCTCCAAATAGCAAAGAAAACGGAACAAAGAAAACTAAGAACAACTTCAAAATATATAAGAACTCCATTATTCAAATTTCACATGTCTTCTCAAAATATGAGAACAATTACTAAAAATTCGTCAACTTCAGTATCTAAGAAACCAGATGTTTGAATATGGCAAAGAACGTTATTTTCAATAATAAGTTGTTGCTTATAATGCGAAGAAGCAATCCATATATTTGAATGGATACACCTATTTTCATATTGAGGGAGATTTTCAGGAGTCATATACCCCGATAAGTTAGAGAAATAGTGGTCAATTTTGAGGTACTCTTTGGAGCAGTAAGTGGTGGAAATCAAGCATTGAAATGGAATTCACCTTAAACTGCCAAAATATATATAAGTCAAGAATTCCGCTTTCAATTAAGAAAATATTTTATAAAATTGTTAATAAAGAAAAAAATGTATAACATACTGAAGAGAGCAATGTAGGAAAACAAAAGGAAAGCATGAATGACGGCAAACAACTGAACTTCATATACACTTTTACAAACTGATAAAAAGAAAAAATCTATGCACACTTGCAGAAGAAGAATGAGTGATAAACATCATATCCAAACAAAATAAGCGGATGAGAAACAAAACAAAGATGATACAAAGAGATAAATGATAAGTACGACAACCGCCAGAGTAATTTTTCTGTAAATCGACGGCAACCAATGTGTCAAATCCTCATAAAAAATTAAATCAAATAGAAAATATCTATGGTAATCTATCACTCAATTTATAGAAAAGGCAGGAGTAGGACACAATAAATCAACTAAATTCTTAGATAAACACACTTGATTTGTACACCTTTACGAGATATAGGCACCAAGGAATCGGTGAGACGTTATAAGCGAGAGGGGTCACAAACTGACTAAATAGACGTGACGTTTCGGTTTTCTTAAATGCATAAAAATGGCAAAAAGTGAGGGAAAAGGCAAAAAATTAAGAAAAAAGATAAAGATGATTTCTGATCTATAAAGACGCCACGTATTAGGGGGCTCCCCCTTATTTCCTATCTCTTGTATTTCTTGTATGTATTTTGAAGTACTCCCCCTCTAATGTCTTTTTGTTCAAATATTATATTAGGTAGGGAATGAGGCCAAACACCCCTGCGGTTAGTTTAAAAAAAGAGATATAGTCATTACATTTTCTTTGATTGTACTTCTCATGGAGACAAGATTAATCAGTAAAAAAGGTAAGAGTAAAGAGAACACTAATCTACTTAGTCTGCAGGAACATTATATAACCAGCATTCTGAAGTGGCAGAGGTCCAACATGTCAAGATGTACAAGCAGGTCTTCGAGGAGGTAGTTGTTCATGAGCTGTTCTCTGTTACATTTCAAATTATATTCATTATATTTCTCACTTTTAAAGTACTTGTAAATGAAGTTGAAATTTACGAAAAAGTTAAAATACATAATTACTTAATTCAAATAGTTTGTGTAGAAGTTAGAATTACTTGCAACTTGGGACGCAATGTCTCTATAGCAATTGCTGATTTTTTATCAACTCCTGCACCTTGCTGTATCCATATAAAAAGCACCAGCATAACAAATCAGAAGAAATCAATAAGCATTTCACAATTTTATACGTGTAGGATAAAAGGTTGCAGTTTAACGAGAGGTTGATCTGAACTCAATACTTTCGACATGAAATATAATTTTATATGTAAAATTCATTAAATTACAATAAATAGTAAATATGAACGCATAATTTTAAAAATACAGTGGGTTCAGTGGTAAGAACCTTAAAGATTGAACTCAACAATAACAACAACCCAGTATAAACCCACTAGTGGGGTCTGGGGAGGGTAGTTTGTACGCAGACCTTACCCCTACCCTAGGATAGAGAGGCTGTTTCCGATAGACCCTCGGCTCCTTCTCTCCAAGAACTCCCCACCTTGCTTTTGGGGTGACTCGAACTCACAACCTTAAAGATTGAACTCATGTAGTTTAAATCATGAAACCGCCTCTGAGCTTAACCATTAAATTACTTCACAGTTTTCCTTTTCGGTGTGCTTGGTTCAAAAAATATTTTTCAATTTCCTAATGTCTAATTCGCTTAAATATTTTAAATAATATTTTTCTTATAAACTTATTTTTCTCTGATTTCGGAAAATAACTTCCCTACCAAAAGAAGAAAAATATTTTTTCGAAACTCTATTTTAACCCTCTCAGCCTCACCCCTAGCCCCCAGCCTATCCCCCACCATTGCNATTTTCTGCGTATTAACCAAATACGAGAAAATAAATAAAATACCACTTATGTTTTTAGAAAAATATTTTCCTTCGTGTCAAACACACAATTCATCCTTAATTAATTCTAAAGATTTTCATCAGGAAAAAAGAAGAGACAAAAGGAATTGAAGTAAAATTTAACCGGATTGGACCTATTATCAAACCCAAGTAGCAGTTAGTTATGGAGTGAGAATTTTGGACAAACCCTAATTTAAATTCAGGAATAGGGTGGACGTTTGGGCAATTCAGATTGGATATGAAAATTTCGGTTTGGATTTTCGATTATCGGATTGAAGAAATGACAATCCAAATCCAATCCAAATAAACTCGGATTGGATCGGATATTTTAAGTTTGGATTCGGATAAACCGTTTTAGATATTTTCGATTTTGAACTTATAAGTTGAGATGTTTCTTCTTTCTACGATAATGAACATCCAAACGAAATATTCATGTTAAATTGCCTTAAAAGTTCCTCATTTTCACCCGTTTGGCCATAGATTTTGCCAAAATAAATTTGGATTTTATTTGGCAAACACATGTTTGGCCATAGATTTTGCCTACATTTTGGTAAAATCCCAAAATCCCAAAACCAGCTCAATAACTGGTTTTGGCCAAAATATCACTATTATATTTTTTAAAAATTACCCCAAACTTTTGTATTTTATAAAAGAGCCCACCATTTATTATTTTGTAGCAATGTTGTTTCGTCTTCTCGGTCACTTGATAGTATATCATGTAGTTTATTATAAAATGATAATTTTGTATCAAATTTATTTATGTTCAGGACTATGGTTTGCGATAATATAATGAATGTTATCGATAATGGTACTATTGGGTATTTGTGATAGTTTTTAGAACTTGTGGGTATAAGTCATGTTTCATGTTTTTCCAAAATAAATTTGGAAAATATGTTTTGAAAACTAATGTCCAAACACATTTTCATCTTCAAACCAAACTTCACCCAAATTAGATTTTTCAGAACAAATTTGGGAATCTATCGCCAAACGCTAGCTAACTAATGAAATCATCATCAATGAAATACAACAAAGACATTAGTAAGGCCAATAAGATGTAGAATAGTAAAATCTTGTTCAAATAAAAAGTATTCTGATAGTAACTTAGTAATTAGTATTGAATATATGAAATTATGTCTAATGGTTAGGATATTGGACTTGTTACTATTGGTATATGAATAATGAACTAAATATAAAATATATTGGATTTTCTGATATCCAAAAATCTGAAGTACAAATCCAATTTCCAATCCGAAATCTACAATATTTTAAAATTAAATCTGAAATCTAATCCATAATCCGAAAATTCAAACAAAAAATCTAAATAATTCGGATTTCGGTTTGGATTTAGAATTTGCCCAAACTATGCCCACCCTATTCAGGAGTCATTTCTCTCAGACCCATGATTCTTGCATATCATAGGGGCACCCCCTGGATTTTTTCTTAGTCATAGAAATTTCCCCATCTAAAATTTATTATTGCTCTAACTTAGCCAAGTCTGAATTAACATCTCAATAGCCAGAGAGAATATTCATTTTAATTGTGTGCTTTCATATCTTATGAAAAAGTCTTTTTTTTCATGAGTAGAACCAAGGTAGAGCAAAAATAACAACAAATGAAGAGATTTTGTAATTTAATGTCCAACAATAAGCTAAAAGGAAATTTAAGTTTCATACAATTCAAGTATTTAATAGGGTTTAATTNTGAAGAGATTTTGTAATTTAATGTCCAACAATAAGCTAAAAGGAAATTTAAGTTTCATACAATGCAAGTATTTAATAGGGTTTAATTAATAAGTACCTTGCACAGAGCCCAGTCTGCGGAATCAAAGAAGGCACGTTCATGGTCCTGCATCCACAACATTACAAGTGGTTGTCAATTTTTAGTCAAAAAGCTTTTTATTTGAAACTTTTTGGAGAAAAAAGAAAGTATATAAAACTTGCCTTTGAAATCAAAGGCTTCTTCTTTGGCTTAAGTCCTCCATATCTTTTAGCAGTGGCAGTGGTCTACAAAATTTAGCATCAGTACCAATTATACAAAAGAGACGTTGAATCAAAAAACAACTTATAAAATTACAAATGATCAGAAGCGGACACCTAACGCACAACAAATCAATTAGTACTTGACTATCTCCTTTTTTTACTTGTCTCCTAGAAAGTCATATGTTTTTGGTCTTGGATTGAACTTTCAAAACTTGTTGCCTACCATTTGATTGATTTGATTCTAGAAAAACAAAATCAAAAAAAAAAATTATGGGACTAGTCTAACATGTCTTTCCGAACTGTATTATTCTGATTAAATCATAGTGTAAAGCATGGAACATGGACTAAAGATCGCAAATCCAGCTGCAAAATGAGGACTACTTCATACACATTTTCTATTTATTTTTTTCAAGGGAAAATGAGGAAGGAGATTACAACATGGGAAATCAATCTCTTACAAACAAGGTGAAATTTAGGTAGCCAATCAACTGGACTACTAAGATACTCTGCATTTTCTAGCTCTAGTTATCAGTAGACGACCAAATAATTGGTCATTTAGTTCATACTATAGAAAACGTCTCCAGCTTGGTTTTTAACCCCTAATGTTCCTGCATAAAGTAGGGAAAATAAAACGATATTTCAGTGAATAGAAGCTTCTGATTAATTCAAGCTAAGTCAATTTTACTAAATATTCTATTTAAGAATCTTTTATGAAACGCAAGAGGCGACTAGTACATCCCCTAGTTAGATGTTTCATTCAATGGTTAATTTGCTTGATTTCCCCTTAAAGAATCGGATTTGTTTCTAATTCTCCTTTTTCTTTTTCTTTTATATTCCTGCAACCTGAATTTCGGTTATTAATCTCATTAAAAAATGATAAACTCACTAGTTTAAGAATGGCATTGGGTTTAGGCTGTGCATAATTTTGGTAAATATCGAATTACCGTACCGAAACCGAAAATTTTGGTATTCGGTATTCGCTATGGTATTTGGTTTAAGTTTTTTAAAAAAAATTGGTATTAGGTATGGTATTAGGTATTTTAAAATGAAATAGCGAAATACAGATACCGTACCGAAATATATAATATATTACACAATACACATTTTATTAATTATAACATAAGTATAAGAAATCTAAAATTTTACTTTTCTTTATTTTCTAAATTCATCAATTAACTCTAAGCAATCAACAAGACATTTCTCTAAGGTTTCTCTCTCTAGGGTGGTATATGCTAGTCTTGGACAAAAACAAACGCTTTAAGGTTTATACTTTTGAGTACTTAAATTAAGATTATTACCGTCTATGACTCTATGCACTAGTTAGTATTCAAACCGAATAAACTGAAGTTACCGAATCGAATAAACCGAAAGGAGAAAAACCAAACCATACCGAATTTAATTAGGTACAATATTGGTATAGCATTTTACGAAACCGAATACCGAAAATATCGAACCGAAATGTCTAAATACCGTACCGTACCGACCGACGAACACTTCTAACGGGGGTTGGTGAAGGTTTGCAGACGGTCAGTCAACTAAGTGATAAACAAATCCGATTCCTGTCACGCTAAATCTGTTCTCCACCCTACTATTGCCACACTTACACTAGCAAGAGGCGGAGTTAGAGTTTGTACCTTATGGGTTCGAGATTATAATCATTTTAAGTTACTGAGCTCTGAATTAATAATTTGTATATATTCATTTAATTTCTTAATACAAATACAGGATTTGAACAAAACTATTGACTTCGGGCGAACCCGCAACTAGCACTGTAGCTCCGCCACGGAAACTAGCCCATTATTGCTTATCCACACCATAAGTTAGTGCCGACACATTTTAACCATAACGTGCAAATTTATTGAATTTTAAGCTATGGGTGGCAATGTTTCCGGAGTATAATCTTAATCGCAAAACCTAGGGACCACTCTTTTTGCGATCCCGTAGAGCAGGCTGCACGTGATTGCTTTGCCCCTTCAGCCCCACAAATCTACATACTGTCATACTCCATTTACGGTTCATTTTCGCTATATTTCTAATAAAATGTCTCAATTTATTTTTTGGACCACATTTATAGTATAACAAAGAAGATCGTATATATGGAGCCAATAATCGAGTATTACTACTAATGCAGATACAAGATAATGTGACTTGTGGCCACTCCTAATCTATCAACATATGATCCTTTTTTGTCTTATTTAATTCTTTTCTAATTATGTTTGGTACTTGAAAGAAGATTTAATAATTACACAAGAAAAATACAATACTAATTGAACTTTGATTTGTGAAATTAGGTTATATATTGAACTCGTATATGATTTATTTTACCTGATTTGAGACTTGAGACAAACCTAAGATTTAGTCGTGCTTCAAATCTCCAATAATAACAAGTGTCTTAACCGCATATAATGAGAAAGAAAGTATATAATTTAAGTCGATCGAATAAAGCACTTCCTTCTTATTTAATATAGTGATTTTGACCTCAAAAGATTCACGTAATAGTATAAGCTTTCGAACCCCTGGATCCTTGCATGTTTTTGAATTGAAATTTATTAAATATTCCAGCTTCTATGTGATTCTTGTTGTATCAAAACATAGAATATATTTTTTTTAATTGGAAGACAAGAAAAAGTAAATTGCACATCAAGGTTAAAGTTTTTTTCTTTTTCTTTTTCTTTTTCTTTTTTCCTAGCAGTGGGCGGCTACCCAACTTATACGATTCACATTGTTAGTGGTGGTTAAAGCTATAACTGTCGATTACGGGAGTTAGGTCCAATAACACATGCTTCATCTTTACTCTTTTCATACTTTAAAAAACAAAGTGATTTGGAAGCATCTTAAGGTTCATAAACTCTCTATCATTATATATGTACATTACCTTGATACAAATTTAATTGCCACCGACACTAAACATCTTTTGTACTAACAAAATTTTCTTTAACAAGAGAGTAGATACTGTGGTTGCACCTATACAACTTTTAATTGCTAGTGTACTTACAAAATTTTAACGATAGCACGTATACACCTTTTAGAAGATACATATACGTTTATCAACCGATTAATTGTGCCTCAATTCTAAATTAATTAAATTTAGCTAATAAATCCTTAGTAAACCTTATACACATATGCAGAGAAACTAATAGATGTGTGTATGTAATAAATTACATCAAACAAACCGTTCTTAACTCAAGTTTGTGAAGAAAAGAGTTAAAGATGACCATACTAGCAATCAAGAATATTGATGAAACCAGAGAAAGGCTCCTTAACCAAAGTAGCAAGAAAAACTCGAAGGACCAAAAAAAAATGCAAAGATTTCATCTTATGTAGAAAAGGGAGGAATAAAAAAAAAATTCAAGTACCTCGTGATCTTGAGAGGAGACAGAAAACTCTTCAATACTGCTGCTATCTGCCATCTTAGTATGTCACCACCACCAGTCTAGCTCTCCTCTGCTTTATCTACTTACCATAAACATATTTATAAGTTTATAGAACAGAGGAGGGTAGAGTTCGTTTTGGGGGGTGGGGGGTAGAGTGTTCAGCTCTAATCCAAACAGAAGGCAATAAAATATGTGAAATAAAAAGGGAATCTTCCATTACCTTGAAGCAGAGGAGATAACAAGAGCAAGCAGAGGAGATAACAAGAGCAAGCAGAGGCAGAAATATGGAGAATAGGCTAAGGAAGAAGAAACGGTGGGAAAGAGGGGGAGTTGGGTGTTGGGACTTGGGAGAAAAGGATTGTTTGACTGCAAGAGAATGAGATGAGAAATTTATAATTTTGGTACGTCAATGATATATTCTTTTAGGGTTTGCCTGATTTTCTAATTATATTTGAGTTTTTATTTAAAGAAAAGGCAAAATATTTATATAACTAATTTTTATTTTTATTAAAACAAAAATATAAATCTTTTTCATATTTGATTAATTATTCTATTAAAGAAAAATATGGGGAAGAATTTATTTTTTCGATAGTTTTATAGTCTCTTTTCTATAGTAGATTATTTCCTCTCATATGGATGTAATTCAAATTAAATTACCATATAATATTCTCCATATTTTTATTTTGTTATATGATTTATTATTGCTTTGTTAATTTTTGCGTGACACCTAATTATTTCGATCCAAACATATTATTCATACTTATTGCTTTCACTCATAACTTTATACATAAATATGAATGTCTTAAACAGATGCGTATAACCTAATTCAAAATCATCTATAAATGTTGGTATAATTTACTTTACCTTGAAAAAAATCAGGAAAAGGAACAAATTTTTTCAAAGAATATGGAAGGATTAGGAAAAAGTTTGGTGAATACGTACGTAAAGTGGGAAGGGGGCAATAGTTGGGTGTCAACTGTTAAGACATCAATATCAGCTGGACTCTTAAGCTTAGCTCCTTCGAGTTCCACACCATACATTACGCGTGCTTATTATAACATGCAATAAAAACCGATGGAGCATGGGGAGGTGTACATGTTGCCTACATTAGGTTGAATAAGAACATGTATAATGGAGCAAAGACCCGAATGAGAACGGTGGATGGGGACTCGGATCATTTTCCGGTTATGATGGGTTACATCAGGGGTCGGCACTCAGTCCTTTTTTATTTGCTCTGGCGATGGACGTACTGACGTGCCTCATCCAAGGGGAGATGTCGTAATGCATGCTATTTGCAGATGATATTGTATTGATTGACGAGACGCAAGATTGTGTGAACGCGCAATTAGAGGTATGGAGGCAGACAAAGGTTTCAAGTTGAGCAGAACCAAGACAGAATACTTGGAGTGTAAGTTCAGTGGCGAGACTCAAAGACGGGATGGGGAGGTGAGGCTGGACTCACAGGTCATCCCTAGAAGAGGAAGTTTTAAGTACCTTGGGTCTATTATTCAAGGGGATGGGAAGATTGATGAAGATGTCACACATCGTATTGGGGCGGGATGGATGAAATGGAGACTCGCTTCCGGTGTTTTGTGTGACAAGAAGGTGCCACCAAAAATTAAAGGTAAGTTCTAAAGAGTGGTGGTCGGGCCAACGATGTTGTATGGGGCTGAGTGTTGGCCAGTCAAGATCGCTCATGTCCAGAAGATGAAGGTAGAAGAGATGAGGATGTTGAGATGGATGTGCGGGCACACCAGGTTAGATAGGACCAGAAATGAGGTTATTCGCGTCAAGGTGGGTGTGGCCCCTATTGAGGACAAGATGCGGGAAACGCAGCTTAGGTGGTTTGCTCATGTGAGGAGGAGGAGCACAGACACCCCGATGAGGAGGTGTGAGAGATTGACATTGGAGGGCCTACGGAGAGGTAGAGGTGGGGAGAGGTAATTAGGAAAGACATGGCGCAACTTCAGTTGACCGAGGATATGACCCTTGATAGGAAGGTATAGAGGTCGAGGATTAGGGCAGTAGAGTAGGTAGTCTAGAGTGTTCATAACAGTAGTATTAGCAAGCAGTCTCGATTCTGTTGGTAATAGGTTTTTTTGACTAACCATTATTTTCTTTCATTGTTGATCACCTTACTACTCTTGCTGTTTTTATTCTGCTTTTATATGGCTTTTTGGTACTGACCCTTCTTGTATATATTTTTCATTAATGTAGTGCTCATGCTTTCCTGAGTCGAGGGTCTATTGAAAATAACATCTCTATCCTCACAAAGTAGGGGTAAGGTCTGCGTACACACTACCCTACCCAGACCCCACGACATGGGATAATACTGGGTATGTTGTTATTGTTGTTGTTGCAATAAAAACCGACACTTCTCTTAAAAAAAGAATATTGGAGAAGAGTTAAGGGAGTCTTTACCCAAAAGTCGATCGGAATCACATTTAATTTTTATAGTTGATATTAGATTATACTTATTTATATATATAAGAATTAACCTAAATATACTCCTTTATTGTTTATTGTTAAATTCTATTGCTCGTTATACTTTTTTGTTTATATATACCCATATCATCCAACAAAGTTCTAAATCTACCTATATTTTAACGGATATGATACGTGACATCATCTGATTAAAAGAACCAACCAAAAATAAAAATAAAAAAAACCCAAATAAAACCCATGACATGCTGATCCATTTTCGCCCTCTTTAATTTTCAGTTGGAAGTGTTGGAGTTACATGATCTTGTGGACATTTGGGCCTGAATTTTCAAGTCCAGTAAATAGGCAATTGTTAGTAGTGTTAGTAGTTGGGGCATAGTCAGCCCATTATGTAACAAGTAGACTACACTGTATTTATTTTATACATAGTTGTGGATCCGGTTAGAGCTAGAATAGGTTCTTTTACTCGTTTGCCCCATGTATATATTAGAACTCTAGAATATTCTTAGTTCAATTTTCTCACTTGAATAAAGAAAATATCTCATTCTCTCTCTCTTCGTGCTCTCACCCCCAAATGAAACCCTAGCTAAATTTTTATTGTTTCCGTTTGATCTGCAATGTTATCATGGTATCCGAGCGAAGGTTTTGGTAGATCCGAGGGTGAGTTGTGGAGCGGTGTTACCCCTGTTTGTTGAATCGGAAAAAGTTACGAGCTTGCTGTTTATTTTTGGTAGACGGTATACGTGATATTCAGGGGACGGTTTTTCTTTCACTTTCCGGCGTTGATGTTTCTCTTCTGATTTAGGCAAGCTTCTATCAGTTTATCTTGTTTCAAGGCTCACTTCTTCGAGTAAAAAGGAAGGAGATTGGTAACCCTAGTTCATTCCGTTTTACTTTATAACTGCATGTTTAGGATCGTTTCTCAATTCTAATTCTGTTGAGTAATTGTTTCTTCTGTATTTTATCTTGTTATACAAATTTTTCCCCTCGATTTACTATGGTGAATTCAACTGTACCTGTAAACCCTAACCCTAGTTATGTTGGAACTTCCTATAGTCCCGACCCTTCGAGTCCTCTTTTCATACACTCTTCTGATATTCCTAGAACGTGTCTAGTCGGTACCCCTTTCTATGGGTCTGGTTATGGGGGTGGAAGAGAAGCATGCAATGTCTCTCTCTGCCAAAAATAAAATTGCTTTTGTTGATGGCTTTTGTCCTAGACCTTCTACTAATGACAATCCTGCAAAATTGCGTCAATGGGACTAATTGAAACTAAAAAGGAATTGACCTCAACTCAGCAAGGATCACTTTACATTGCTTCATATTTCAACAAACTGAAGAAGCTTTGGGATGAGTTGGGGACAATTCATAAAAATTATGGTAATTCATGTACTTGTGCTGCTAAGCCAGGTATTCAAAAGGACGAGGAGGAGGATAAGCTTCATCAATTTCTTATAGGTTTGAATGAAGTTTATGTGGGTATTTGTTGATGATGCAACTTCCTTCTTCACTTAATAATGCATACAATATACTTCCTTAAGATGAGAATCAAAGACAACTTCATTTCACTCCTCAGCTGACTCCAGAGTCTGCTTCTTTTTCCGTCAATATCAATAATAAGTCCTTTCCTCCAAAACAGCACAATCAGAAGATAGATTTTGATCAATTCAGGAAAAATGTGTTCTGTAAGTATTGTAAGAAGCCTAAATACATGATTGACAAATATTATAAACTCCATGGGTTTCCCCAACATTTCAAATTTAATAAAGGAAAGAGAGTGACTACAAATGTGTCTACTGAGATTAGATGCCCATGTGTTGGTCAGAAATCTGCTTCTTCTCAGATCTGTAATGGTACTCCTAGTCCACCTTATGATAATCAAGCTTCATCCATTCTTGGTTTGACCAAACAATAATATTCACAGCTCATGTCATTGCTACAACAGACTCAAATTAGTTCTAGCTCTGACTCTCAACCCAACCTGATGGCTTCTGCCAACTTTGCTGGTGGTGTCTTATCTTTGCCTGTTTATTTTGACAATGATTCTCATACTTGTTTATTATTTGGGACTAGTAGAAGTGTATGGATTATAGATAGTGGAGCTACTGATCACATGAACTCTAATAAATATATCTTTTTTAATCTCACACCACTACCTATTCCTTACTTAGTAACTTTACCTAATGGATATAAGGCAAAGGTTACTTCCATTAGATCTATTACTCTATCTCCTTCTTTGACTCTTCATCAAGTGCTATATGTTCCATCTTTTCAATAAATCTGATTTCTGTGTACAAATTGATTCAGCAACTTAAATGCCTAATTTTATTTACTTCTTCTTCATGCATTCTCATATAGAACCTTTCCATGAAGAAGCTTCTAGAACTTAATAAATTGGACCAGGGACTTTGCAAGCTTCTTCATGAGCATCAGTCTGCTCCTGGTTTTAGGTTTCCTGTTTCTGTTTTCAATAAAAATGTACAGCATAAGAATGCTTCTGATATTTCCCTTAATAAGGTTGTACAAAATAAGTGCTTTGAATTCTATTCCTTTAGTTCCTTCCAATGATGTGCATAGTATAAATAAGCATGATGTATTGTGGCACCATATGTTGGGACATATTCCATTTGCTAAAATGAAGCTAATTCCTTCTATATCTTTTGATTTGTCTTCTAAATAATCTTTTGTATGCCTTGTTTATCCACTAGCAAGGCATACTAGATTGCCTTTTTTCTCACAGTACTTCTATCTCTAATTCCTTGTCCGAATTGATTCATGTTGATACATGGGGACCTTATCACACACACACACACACATATTCTGGGGATAGATACTTTCTTACCATTATGTATGATCGTAGTAGAGCAACTTGGACCCATTTAATGCAATCCAAAAGTAATGCTTTCTATCTGTTAAAAGCCTCCATCTCTATGATTACAACACAATTCAATCTTTCTGTTAAAACAATCATACGTGACAATTCCTTGAAAATAGGTCTCTCTAATTCTGCCTTACAATATTTCTCTGCTAATGGGATTTTCCATCAAACCACTTGTCCACATACACCTCAACAAAATGGTATTGTTGAAAAAAATACAAACACTTGTTTGAAACAGCTAGAGCTTTATTATTTCAATAAAACTGCCAACAAAATTCTAGGAAGATTGTATCCTAACTGTCACTTACTTAATAAATAGATTCCCTCAACTGTCTTGCACAATAAGACCTCTTTTGAAATCCTATATGGAAAGTTACCTTCCTATTCTCACTTGAAGCCTTTTGGATGCCTATGTTATGCTATTATTCCAAAATGTAACAGAGACAAGCTAGATCCTAGAGCATCCCTTGTGTGTTTTTTGGTTATCCATTTGGTAAGAAATGGTATAAATTGTACAATCTGTCCACCAGAGGTATTTTTGTCTCCAGAGATGTAGTATTCCATGAGTCCATTTATCCATTTCTTTTGTCTTCTCCATCTCATAGCTCTCTTGTCCCTTCTATTCCTGCTGATGAATCTTATTCTTTTTCAGTCTGACCCTTCTTCCTTTCCTTGTTCTGTTCCTTCTTCACCCGTTGCACCTTCTGATCCGCCAGTCATCCCTTCAATTTTTGTGCCTTCTGATTCCTCTTTTATCACTCCTCCTGAAGTTAGAAGGAGCAGCAGAACTCACACACTACCTTTCCATTTTAAAGACTTTGTTACACAACTTCCTCCTTCTCTTTCCAGCTCCACTTCCACATTACTTTCTGCTTCCCACACAGTAACAACTGAGCCTCATTCTTATACTCAGGCAGTTACCAACCCTGCTTGGCAAGAGGCCATGAGGAAGGAATTTGAAGCTTTAGAGACTAATAATACTTGGACAATAGTTGAATTTCCTTCCTAAAGGAAAGAAACCAATTAGATGTAAATAGGTGTATAAAATTAAACACAAAGCTGATGGTAGTGTGGAGAGGTATATGGCTAGAGTAGTGGTACGTGGTGATACACAAATTGAGGGGATTAATTTTTATGAAACTTTTTCTCCTGTTGTCAAGATGTGCACCATCAGATGTCTTGTAGCTTTTGTTGTCAAGAAAGGCTGATCTATTTTCCAATTAGATGTAAATAATGCATTCCTCCATGGTGACTTGGATAAGGAGGTTTACATGAAGTTACCTCCAGGTATTACTGTTAATTCTACTATCCAGCACGCTTATCCTCTGGTTTACAAGCTCCAAAAATCTCTTTATGGTCTAAGGCAAGCCTCTCGTCAGTGGTATGCTAAATTATCAAATGCTCTTTGTTCCAGGGGTTATATTCCTTCTCTGAATTATTATTCTCTCTTCATTAAGAAATCTGCTGCTTCAACTGTTTTTCTTACCGTATATGTACATGATATTGTTCTTACGGGTGACGATCTTCATGACATTTCTGCCCTTAAGGAGTTTCTAAATAATTAATTTAAGATCAAGAATTTGGGTTTACTCAACTATTTTCTTTGCATTGAAGTCTTGTATGATAAATCTGGGGTTATTCTTCATCAAAGAAAATTCATTACTGACTTACTTCGTGAATTTAATTGTGATTTTGTTTCTGCCGTTGTTTCTCCTCTTGAATTGTGTGTGAAACTTAAATCTGATGATGGGGAGCTGTTGTCTAAGCCTGACACTTATAGAAGTTTGGTTGGTAAACTTAATTTTCTCACCCACACTAGGCCTGATTTGTGCTTTGCTGTTCAGCACCTAAGTCAGTTTCTTAAATGTCCTAGGATGCCTCATATGAATGCTGTTCTTCATATTTTGAAATATTTGAAAGGCACTCCTCATGTTGGGGGTTTTCTCAATAACTCTTCTGATTTTTCTGTACTTGCCTACTGTGATAGTGATTGGGCAGCATGTTCTGAGTCATGTAGGTCTATTTCTGGGTTATGCATATCTCTAGGTTGAAGCTTAATTAAGAAACAGGCAGTTGTATCCTTATCCTCCGTCGAGGATGAGTATCGGGCAATGAGTAAGGTTGTGGCTTAATTAGTTTGGTTGGTTCGCTTACTCACTGATTTGGGGCTTCCCACTGTGTTTCTTGTTCCTGTCTTCTGTGATAATTTGGCTGCCCTACATATTGCAAAAAATCCTGTGCTTCATGAATGTACTAAGCACATTGAGGTGGATTGTCATTTTATACGGATAAAATTGGCTGATTGTCTTATTTCCTTGCATCATATCTTTACTTCTTCTCGGTTGGCTGACATATTTACCAAGTGTTTGACAGGTGGAAAGCATCATTTGTTGCTTGGCAAGTTGGGCGTGACCTCACCCTCCAACTTGGGGAGGGGGGAGGTGTTGGAGTTACATGATCTTATGGACATTTGGGCCTGAATTTTCAAGTCGAGTAAATAGGTAGTTGTTAGTAGTGTTAGTAGTTGGGACATAGTCAGCCCACTATGTAATAAGTAGACTATACTGTATTTATTTTTTATATATAGTTGTGGATCCGATTAGAATTAAAATAAGTTCTTTTACTCTTTTGCCCCATGTATATATTATAACTCTAGAATATTCTTAGTTCAGTTTTCTTAGTTGAATAAAGAAAATATCTCATTCTCTTTCTCTTCGTGCTCTCATCCCCAAATGAAACCCTAGCTAAATTTCCATTGTTTTCGTTCGATTTGCAATGTTATCAGGAAGAGTGAAGTCCTTAGCAGTTTGTCTTCTTATTCTATTCAGGACTACAATATAAAGCCACCAAAGAAATCTTCACTGATGGTAGGACTAGTTATCTTAATCTTTGTAATGGTATATGAAGTTTACATATGTTCAATCGGCCTGAAACAAATTTGTATTCGTTTGAGTGCGCAGTTATTAAGTGTTCATGTAAGCCATGTGAGGCAACTGACATTGAAGCTTCAGAAAAACCTTATGCACATTTTCACATGTCAAAAACTTTTAGCGATGAGAAATTTATTACTATTCTATTTTTATGTTTTGGTTTTCTCTTAGTGGATAAAATTATTGAGTTGATGTCTGCTATATATCAGGGTCGAATGTGCTTCATTAAAAAAGGAAGATCGACTTGATCTGAACAGAAACATCGACAGTTGAAAAATGACAAGACGACACTGTTGCTTGATCCTCAACGCTGACGAATGAATTGACTCGGTCATGGCCACCATGTTGACCAAGATAGCTGCCGTTAAGTTGAAATCGGTAGAGGCGTCCGACGAGAGTTTTGCAGCGGCAACTAAGGAGTTAGCTAAGAGGCTGACGGGATGTGGTTTTCCAGCGAAGAAGATCCTAAGTTTGGATATGAGAATGTGAAGAAATGGAAGGAAATAGCAGAGAAAAAAGAGGCATTACTTGTTGCAAAAACTTGTTTCTCCCAAACGCACACGCAAGCATACGTGGTCGTACAAGTAATATAGGATTGTAAGTCCAGATATCGTACTACATGGACTTGTGATTAACTATTTACTAAATTAAACTAAGAAAATTAAGCTATTCAAGTGATTACTAAGTGTGATTATTAAACTAAAGCTAATATAGAGTAGTAAACTAAGAAATTAATGGAAATAAGTCGGTAACCTTAGAGATGAATTCAATGGGAGAAAATAATCCAGATCTCTGGGTTATCTAACAATCCCATTGAGTTTTTCACTTAAATTATCTAATTAATTTATCTGGTTTATTGATTGACAAGGTTAATATTGCTCATAGTATTCTCTCGAAGTACTACTCGCCTATTCAAGCTAACCTAATACCTATATTCCTATGGAATTAGGATTAACAAGAACGCATTAATAATTTCTGTATAGTAACCAAGTAAGGCGATTAGGTATATCCCTATCCTAACCGCAATCCGTTCCTGATGCTCAAGTTCAAGATCTTTCTCTACTCAGTCTTATATGCAGTTCTAGAACTAATAAACTATGAGATTAAAGGAAGGGAAGAGAAAGAAAAACTGAGAATCCTTGCTCCCGAGTGTTCCGTGGATGTATTTCCCTCTCAAAATGGTGTCTCCCCTTCCAAAAAAGGTTTACACTTGCTTTTATACACGTTGGGGGGGTGGGGGTGTCTTGGGACGAAATAACCTTGTCCTGGGAGAACTAGGAGAGACTTTCCGTCACCAGTGTCCAGGGTAGCATGGGATGCTAGCCCTGGCGTTGGGATTTTTGAGGTCCTGGAAATTGGGCCACAGGTAGTGCCCCACGCTACCTGTGGTGCTACACTGTCCCAATTTTTTGTTTTATTTTATTTTTTCTTCAACTCGTGCACTTTCGTCCGACATTACCGCCGGATGACTCCTACACATTAAAACACCACGAATTAACATAATTTATAACATTACATATCCGAAATTTATGAAGCATGAGTAAAATGCGAGGCAACATGCATATAAATATATATACTTTAAGCTGAATATCAAGAGTCGATAAGTGTTTTATGACTGGTCAAGAGGAATTGACTCTTCCAATGAAGGAGATGATTGAAAACTAAAGAGGGAAAATATGTCAGCGGGTCATGGGTTTTATTCGTGTTTGGTTTTTTTTTTGGGGTTGGTTCTTTTAAAATCAGACATCACATATCATGTCCATTAAAATAGAAGTAGATATAAAACTTTGATGGACGACATGGACATATATGAACGAGAAATATAATGGGGATATGATTAAACAATAAACGAAAGTAGAGAGATATATATGATTCTTTTTATATATATCATTTTATACATATATTATATATTCGCTGACTATATTTAGTCTAAACAGTTGGGTGGACGGCTATTTTACGGAAAGAAAAGACTTCCCCTAAGATTCAGACTACATTGATTTAAACTACATAAATTGTAAAGCCCCGTTAATTTTTGTAAGGTTTAAAAACTTAAAAGTGCGCTAACGACGATTAGAGATAAGGTTTTGTGTGCCAAAAGAAATTATAGGCGAGTACTATATCACTTAGATATGATAATAAGTGTAGAAGATGTATTAAAGGTGATTTAGGGTCTAAGAACAGCTCTAGAACCAATCCAAATTGAAAACTGTATACGATTAAAACTATGCCCGCCCGATTTTACTATTTGACCGAGACCGGAAGATTGCATCTAAGGACAGCCTCGTAACAGAACATACTAAATTACGAGGACTAGGTACCAAGTTCAGAACCGAGGTACCTGTCGAGATCGAGGCTAGTAGCAATCGAAGCCAAACGAGACAGACATCGAGCAAGATCGAAGATAGCACAATAACAGAAAGGCGAGATATCCGTGACTGGTCGAGGATCACGGCATAAACCTCGGTAACTGGTCGAGGATCATAGCGTAAATATCAGAACTGTTCAAACTAGAAACGGTTAATTAGCTAATTATGGGATTTTCTTCTATAATTAGAATTATACCATAAGTATAACTCCTAAAGGGGAGTATTAACCATTTGTAAGACACATTGTTCTCATATAAAAAAGTCAATATAACTCTCCCTCTTTAGCTTATACTCTCTTGTCCATCAACTTGCTTTATTTTTAATTGTTTTGGTATCAATCAATTCGAGGGCCTCCTAGCTCGAGGGTCGAATTCCGTTTCAACACTGGTTCGCTTTACTCTATAGTTTATTTCTATCATTAATCTTCATATTTATCTATTGGAATTAAGTGAAATCACATATCCTTAGAACCTCATTATAAGTTTAATTGTTATCCAATTTTAAGGGTAAACAGTTTGGCATCCGTCGTGGGGCCTAGGATAATAGTGATTGCTTTATACTAATTCTGATAACACACACTGCTTTATACTTGTTCTCGTAAGAAACTTTGTTTTCAGGATAAATATGTCAAACTCACAAGCAGCGCCTACACACGGTGATGACAACCTCGGATTTTATGAGGAAAATGACAACATAGCCGCCCCAGGAATCGAGGTGCCTCAGGCCGACCTCGAGGGAGCACCAATTGTGAATCCCGTCGATGTTATATCACATGTCACCCTAAATGAAAATTTGGGCGTTAAGCCCGAAGGTAGTATACGCAGGGAAGTTCGATTAGGTGGTCGAGGTACGCAGGGCGGAGAAGATGGTGGCGTTAGCCTCCAATTGATATTCGAAATGTTATAGGCTCAACACGCCGCTATAGCACAACTACAAAATCAACACCGAACACCGAGTAGGATCGAACCCGAAGTCGTTTAAAGGACCGAGCCTGTGCCGGAAAGGTCGAATGCCAACGAATCGGGGACTGACCCCGCCATTATAAAAATGTTCGAGGAGCTCACTAAACGGATTGAATTGGGAGAAAAGAAAATCTAGGCAAATGACAAGAAAGTAGCGACATACAACTCCCGGATTGACCAAATACCGGGGGCACCGCCGATTCTAAAGGGTATGGACTCAAAGAAATTTGTACATAAGCCTTTCCCTCCAAGTGCGGCACCGAAACCCATTCCAAAAAAATTCTGAATGCCAGAAATTTCTAAGTACAACGGGACCACCGACCCTAATGAGCATGTCACTTCTTATACATGCGCAATAAAAGGGAATGACTTGGAAGACGATGAGATTGAATCTGTTTTACTGAAGAAATTTGGAGAAACCTTGTTTCATGATATGGTACCACAATTTGCCTCCTAATTCCATCGATTCCTTCGCCATGCTTGCAGACTCCTTCGTAAAGGCACATGCCGGAGCAATAAAGGTTGCAACTAAGAAGTCGGACCTCTTCAAGGTGAAATAAAAAGACAACGAAATGTTGAGAGAATTCGTATCTTGGTTCCAGATGGAACGCATGGAGCTACCACCGGTCACAGATGATTGGGCTGTTCAAGCCTTTACTTAGGGTTTGAATGAATGCAGTTCGGTGGCATCACGACAGCTAAAACAGAATTTAATTGAATATCCAGCGGTAACCTGGGCCGATGTACATAATCGGTACCAGTCAAAGATCAAGGTCGAGGATGATCAATTGGG